GCCGAAGTCGGCCGCTCAACCGACTGAGCCACCCAGGTGCCCTGTTGTTGAGCATTTTAAAACTTTGGAACCGATCACAAGTTTTAAGACCCAGTTAGGCAATGGTTTCCTCACAGAAGCCCTGGCCTACCCACTAGTTCTGTTGGGTGGACAGTGAAGACAGCAGTTGTTTGTACATGTGTCTGTTGGGTTGCTAACGCAGAGGCAGAACTCCGTGACACAGACAGCTCAGGAATATTTGCCCTGAGTAAACAAGGACTGAAAAACCGTATTAAATCTATCTCCTGCTTCTTTTGTTTTTAAGAAACAAAATTACAAAGAATGTCTTTTCTCTAAATGACACACTTCTTTTTAATCTTTAGGAATTTGAAATTTTGTGTGTGTTGTGTCACCACGGACATTTGGGTCCTCTATTTAGGAGGGATCTGTTTAATAGTCTGGTTAACAGAAGGCTCCGGTTTATTCTAATCAAATTTTTAAATAAATAGACACAGTAAAAGTATGTGTTTTGCAGATGTTAATTTTCTGTTGGATAACAGCTAACTCTGGATAAGTACTGAAAGACTAGTACTCAAAGAGAATGGCGAGGCCAGCGGTTTCTGGGTCTTCATCGACCCAGAATCCTGTATTGGCATACAGTTGTGACATTCTTATAATACTTGATAGTCTTTATGCTTGCAAAGTCCTGACTCACGCAGTTTCAGATGGTTAGGAATTGAAATATATGTAAGGACCTCAAGAATTTTGCTTTGAGCTCTTCATACCACAGATGGCCCTTAGAATTTCACATCACTTACTGAAGTGCTGCCAGAGAAAATGAACGTGTGGAAACAAGCTTTCATCTTCAGCTTGCCTGGTATCCTAGCTCTTGGAATTCTTCTGTGGTATGCTCTTTTCTGCACTGCCTAAAAACACAGCTTGCATGCACGAGTATATCATGCTCTCTAAGAAGCTAAGTCAATCAGTGCTCCGAGAGGTCAACTAAATAGAAAATCCCAGTCAGTTATGCAAGATGAATAGTTTCTAGATCTCTGCTGTACAATATCATGGCTATTGTTAACAATACTGTACACTTAAAATTCTGTCAAAAGGATAGATACATTAAGTGTTTTCACCACAATTAAAAAAAAGCAAAGAAAACTCCCGGTATAGGGATTATTGCTTTATTTGAACAAAAACGTGTCAAAAATGACTTGATTAGCATTTCTAATTGTAAGAACAGCCCAATCTTTAGAGTGCCCTGTGAACTATTACTTTCATTTTTAGTTATTGGATCCTTCTGTGTCTATTCTTAGACAAATGAGTGGCCTATAGGGATTTACCTACTAATAACCCCATATATTTAGACTTATTCTTGCCTTCTCTCAGATAATATTCTGAATGGAGACACTGTGTAAGTATTCATTAGTTAATACAGTTTATTTTTAAGAGATAATATGTGTGTTCTCCTTTAGCATGCACGAGTGTAGACAGTAAAAATTACCCACTATTTCTGCATACCACTGATCCTGGGTTTTAGTAATGAATGAAATGTTTATTTTTTTTTTTAATTTTTTTTTCAACGTTTATTTATTTTTGGGACAGAGAGAGACAGAGCACGAACGGGGGAGGGGCAGAGAGAGAGGGAGACACAGAATCGGAAACAGGCTCCAGGCTCTGAGCCATCAGCCCAGAGCCCGACGTGGGGCTCGAACTCACGGACCGTGAGATCTTGACCTGGCTGAAGTCGGACGCTTAACTGACTGCGCCACCCAGGTGCCCCGAATGAAATGTTTAAAGGAAGAGATAGTGACGGCCCGTGCTCAGTGCACCTCAAAATCACCTGGGGCGCTCTTAAGATATCTGGGCCCCAGCCCCAGAAATTCTAATTTAATTGGTCTGGGAATGAGACTTCCTCAATGATGTTATATGAAAGATCTCCAGGTAAATGTAATACACAGCTACAGTTGAGAATCACTGGCATAGAGTAAATCATTCTGAAGTGGGGTCCGTTGGCTTCTCAGAGGTTCTTCTTCTTCTAACATTTTAAGGTGGATTGTAATTTTTATGTGTGCGTGGGAAATTTTCTAAAGAGATAGTCCAAAGAATTTATCAGATTTTGAGAGTATGTGACCTTAAATTTAAAAATCCTTAGTGCAGAAAAATTAAAACAAAAAAACATGGGCTTTTCTAGACAGCACACCTTTGGGAATCTGAGGAGGAGGAGGAGCTGACAGTGAAGTCAGAAAAAGAGCATGAAAGGTAGGAAGAAGCAGTGATGAGCTGGAGCTGGCTGGCACCAGCTCGTGAGACCCAATTATGTTTATTCCCAGGTCCGTGCTCTGTGATTCCATGTTGGTGGCTTGAGTGTGGCCATGGTAGGAGTCTTTACACCACAGAGGTAGCGGAAGGCCCTGATCAGGGCTCTCCTTCCCCCTTCCCCTCTCCTCAGGATACACTGTAGTAATGCTGAAGGTCAGGTGAGGAGAAGTTTAAAGATACTCAAGAGTGCCAAGTGCCACAGAGGTTGACTGCAGTGACGCCTGGGAGCCATCGGACTACCAATTGACTCTTCAGAGCAGCTTGGATCTGGTTGTTCAGGCTGGCTGCAATTGCCCAATCTCACTGCTTCAATAAATGTCTATCATGTGCTCTCCCCATCCCTAATGTCTATGAAGGCATCTGGCGAAGTTCTGGATACATAAAGGGAAACATCAGAAGAAATAGATTGAGAACTGATAGAAAAGGGTTTTGAGTTACTTAGAGGTGAAATGAGTTGCTTAAAGTCACACCAGTAATGGCAGAGAGAGACCCGGAGCCTGAGTCTCCCAACTATGCTCGCCCTCACTACACCTGGGTGAACTATATTTTAAGGAGTTAGGACTTTCTGTAAGTCAGGGATAGATGGGAGTAATCTCTTCAGATATCATCATCAGAATCATACTTTTAGAAACTGGCACTGAGCATTGGGATCAATTCAGTGTGGACAAAGCCACGGAGGAGTAGGTACGCTGGTTAGGAGGCTGCTATAAGCCAAGCAAGAGGGTGCTTAGAGAAAGGTGAACTTTCGCTGACCATCACACAGGAGTTTTGTAACATACAGAGGAAAGGGGCTAACAGTGTGAGACAGATGTGCAATGAGCCTAGGGAGAGATAGCTTGGAAGTGGGTTGGGGTGAGGACAAGGGGAGGAGGGACGAAGTGCAGTGATTTTGCTCCAGTGCCATGGTCATATAGCTCATCAGGTCATTATTTACCTCCCTTCTTCGGGTTGGTTCTGTAGAGTTGGCTATAGAACATCCTTATCTGACCCTGACAATGTGTGAGACCTTTTGAATGCATTCTGTTCCTACTGCTTATTCTTCTACCTGATGGTGGTCACTGCTGTCCATGATTAGTATGATTTAATTCAGTCTTGGAAGAAAAACAAACACATCTGCTTTCTTTCTTAGAGCAAGTAAATAATTTGAGTGTAGGAAGGACTACTTGTGATGGCCAATGATATTCTGGCCATTACTGTCATTTTTAGCTGATTGTCTATTACAAAGAGGTGGCAGCTGTTTAGGGAGGAAGACTTCAGGTTTGGAGAAATACTTTAGGGGAAGACAAACTGATTTTTTTTTTTTTTTTAATGTGAGAACTGTTTAAATGTATTAGTGTAATTACAAGGATATATATTTGGCAAAGAAAAATTAAAAGAAAATACTAAATAAAGAAGGAATATTGATATCTAATAAGAGATTTACTTTCTGTACTTCCTGTTTTTACCTAAAAATCCAACATATATTAATGTGTTTATAGGTGCTTTTCAGTGGGAAGAATTGGAAGAAGATATCAGGAAGAAATTGAAAGATTCTGGGGATGTTTCAAATGTAATCGAGAAAGTTAAATGCATTTTGAAAACACCAGGAAAGGTAAAACTACTTTATTGCAAATCAGTTTACCTTGATGTTCTCTGAATTTTAACAGATATACTATGATAATATAATATTGAGTCATTAGAAGAGTCAATAACATATAAATAGGTTTTTCTTGAACCTGTTTTTGCCATTAAATATTTTAAACACAAACTTGTATTATTTCTCACTATCTCAGATTTTAATTCATATAAGAATTAGAATATGTGTGAGTCATGTCTTTAAAATGTTGACTTGTGAATTCCATCCTCTGAAACATTTCCCTAGAGCTCCAGGAATATGCAATCTATGTCAAGAATGAAGTGCTGTTGAATTTGTCTGGTTACGGTTAAGCTTGTTAAAGGGAATGCTTTCTCACTTCTCAGAATTTAAGTCCAGATAGTTTTCTGGAGCAAGGCTGTTTCTTTGTGTACCCTTTTCAAGAGTCCTAAGAAACCTCTTTGATCAGGTGGACAGTTAGGGATTTGTTTCTCATCTTGTACAGGTTTAAAATTATAAGTCAAAGGTTATAAAATGTAGACTTTGTAACAAGTCATAAACATGTGCATGTTAAAACTCCAGTCACTTAGGCTGTAAAGAGTCTGAAGGGCTTCAAAAATAAATTTATTTTGAGACAACTACATTATACAATTTAGCCAGTGTATTCTTATTTCAGATTCTGTGATAAACAAATTGGCTACAGTAGATATTTTTATACTTACCTTTTGGTAAGTATGTGCAATGCCTAGCAGAATATAGACATGTAAATGTAAGAAATGTAAGAAATGTTAAATGGAAGAAATGTAAGAAAATATAAGAAAAAATGTAAGAAAAAATATTATTCCTTTAATTTTTTTATACAGATGACTGTCAATTCTATAACCTAAGTTAATGATGTTTTAAGTTAATATTTTATTTTTTAAGTTAAGATTTTAAAACTGTACTAGCTTTTAATGAAGATTCCTGGCTTATTGAGTTGGGGAAAAAAATTTGTAAATGAAGTAACATGGAATTAAGGAGCAAGACTTTTCTTGTTTCAATAACACACTGAAGCTGGTATACAGAAGCTGTCCAATTCTACAAGGGTATGGCAGAGTGGTAGCTCTTGCAGTCTAATCCAACTAACACTTTTGTAGAAATGTGCGCATAAAGCTATATTCTGTTTTTCAAAATTTCTCTAGATTACTTGTTTATAGACTAGTGAAAATGTATAATACGTTTATCAGTGTTCTGTCCAAACAACTATCCTTCAAAATTTTTTTCTTCAAATTCAAGGCATTGATCACACAGGAATCTGTTTATAAGATTATCTATCTATCTACCTATCTATCTGTTATCTATCTCCATCCATCCATATATAATATACATCTACATATTATTTATGATATATAGACTTATAATCTTTATATGAATGTTTCGGACAGAAGTGTTGCCTTTTGTTCTAAACCCAAGCCTTTCCTTGGGTGTGATTCTGAATACAGTCATTGCTTTGAGTACTGAGGTAAAAAAAAAAAAAAAAAAAAAAAAATTGTTGGGGAAGAGGAGGCTGGGGACTATGGGATTCCATGATATTGAACTAAATTTCCTCCTTTGCACAGGAGGAGAGAGGAGTTCTGTGCTTTCTTCTTGTGCTTTTCCGGGGTCAGGGTCTCTCTCATTAACTGAGTACAACACAGAAATACATTCCAGAATTAGGAATCAGGAAATGTACATTTAAATTGTGAGTTGGCCATAAATTATCCCTGGCTTTAAGCATGTCTCCTCAGGACTTTCTTACAATGAGGGATAAATTATGATTTCTAAAGCCCTTGCTAGTTACCAAATTCTTTGATGCTCTCTGACTTGCTCTGCTTTGTGTGTGGCTCTCCCTGAATTCTCTCCACCAATTCCTTAGATATGTATTAAGGTATGTTGTGTGTAGAATCTGAGAATAGACTTTATAAGACTAGGATTTGTATGATCCTGTTTTGCTTCTCTGCCTTGCTAGTGGAAATCATTCTGGAGTGTGTTTTCTTTCTCCTTGTGAGTAAGGATAATATTTTTGTTTTCCTCTTACCAAAGATTTTAACTTCCGACCATAGTGGATTAATCCAGAACGGAGACTAGGTATCATTTATTCTTATTGTTCCAGTTGTATGCTTGGTTATTTCTTAGGGATAAAGCTTTCTGTATTCCCTAGATAGCCAACCAGAGGTTCTGAGATTCAGCAAGGAAAATGGGTGGAGGGTGAGGGGAGAGGGGCTGGCTCTCGAATTCTGGGGTTGGAACAAAGAAATGTCTGAAAGATTACAGAAAGGATAAACCAAGCGCTAAATCCTAGGTGGAGGCTAGAGATGGGTTGGAGACTGCTAAGTCACACAACCACTATTATTGGAGGCCACCATCTAGAGCAAGCAGATGTGAGAGTGCAGATAGGTGTAGTCATGGAAGAGGTTCTCTGGAACTCTGGATAGGAGATCCAGGCAACCTTTTATAGATTCCAGGAGTCCCAGCTGTGGGTAGAAAGACACTTAGGATTATAAGATTATACATTAAGATGGAGATGAACCTATTCATTACTCTCAGGTATTTTAATGTTGATCCTAGTAGGACATGATTTGATGGGGGAAATGTGTATTCTTTTAAATTACAAACAAATTTTTGTGTATGTACCTTCTTAAAGTGAACAAACACACAGGTTGTATGTAAACATATTTTACTAGGCATTCATAGGAGGTTGGACTGTTGTCTGTTTCCCAGGTAACAGAGGCCTGCATGGATTTGGGACCCCACGTGTCTCAGCCAGCGAAGTGAGTTTTCATTTAGCCGGTTCACTCACTGCTAAGAATACTGCACAGGGCTTATTCTCATGTAGCACATGCCATACTTGAGGGCAAGTTCCCCTGACAGCTATGATCAGAGATGCCGTAGACTAGGTAATCCTTATTTCTTCAGACATTTCAGTACAGTTTTCCAGATTCTCTAACCAACCTATATATATTACCAAAGCATATTGTACATTTCCTTTTTTTTTTTTTGTCTTCTTTTATAGATAAATTGTCTAAGGAATTGCAAAACTTATCAAGCCAGAAAACCTCTGTGGTTTTATAACACTTCCCTGAAGTTTTTCCTTAATAAACCAATGCTTGCTGATGTTGTCTTTGAAATACAAGGTATGGTTAATTTTTTTGCAAAGTTCATTACTTGTTTTTATTCCTTATTTTCTTACCTAACTCTCTATTTCAGCTTTGAATATTTTAGATGAAGAAATGACTATTCTGTAATGCAGATATAGATTAGTACTGTTTGAATTGCAGCAGAATCTAGGGAAGTGAAAGAAAATTATATTTTCCACTTTTTTTTTACCCTTAACATATGCTTCATTAACTTTTAGGGACCAGTGTGCAATGGAATGAATTGTAATATCACCTCATTGTGTATTTTTGTCTGTGTATTTCTTTAAGATGCTACTTCTTGAGTCACCTGAAACCAGCCCCCTTTACATTGTATTACCTGTAACTGGTTCGGTTCTTTTTATTTGAGCAAAAGGAACTAACTGTGCATTGAGGGTCATGCCCAGCTTACATTAGGCATTGGTAGATATTGCTACACTTATTCGTCACAGTACTCTGAGAATTATCACCAGAGCAACTGAGAGTTGCTTTTTATCTCTGTAGGAAAGTAATGCTGCCTAATTTTAATAACGGTAAGCTGTTTTAATGCCCATTATTGATTATTCGCTTGGATGATTTTGCCACTTGAGTAGATTAAAAGCATAATCATAAAAATGAATAGTCAGGTACCTTTAACTGTGCAAGAAGGCTAGGGGTTGTTTCCAGATGTATTAAATAGAACTTCAGGTGGGCTATTACTAAAAGCAAGATATGATGCTAATTTTATGATAGAAATGGATGGCAGCTAATAGTCACTTGCCTTTTAAAATTTTCCCCCAGAAAGATTCATTTTAACTTTGGCCACTGGCCAAGACAGAATTGGAGACTTTCCCAAGTGCCTTCAGATAAGCTACAGTCAGTGCTGTTTGAAATGTGAGATGAGACATTGAGAATGGGACAATAAGAGTGACCTTGAAATACATAAAGAATGATTTGGGGGGGAGGAAGCTAACAAGAGACCACATTTGCTTATAATTTGCCTAGGAAGCCTTCACACCAAACATCATGTTAATGTAACCCACCGAAAAGATGTTCGAAGGGAATATGCAACATATGAAAACATATGTTAAGAGAAAAGAAATAAGCAATGATGTGGAGAATTCTTTCTCCTTATAGTCTCTTGCTTTTCTCTCACAATTCTACCTCCTAACCCTTTTGTGGGCATCTGCCCATGGCCCCTACCTATGTGGAGGCTGGGTGCGGGAGGGCCCGCTGTGGGCTGTGCTGATGCTCAGCTCCTGGGCTGTCCTTTGTCTCTCATCAGCTCAAAAACCAAGGCCTCCCTGGGGCGCCTGGGTGGCGCAGTCGGTTAAGCGTCCGACTTCAGCCAGGTCACGATCTCGCGGTCCGGGAGTTCGAGCCCCGCGTCAGGCTCTGGGCTGATGGCTCGGAGCCTGGAGCCTGTTTCCGATTCTGTGTCTCCCTCTCTCTCTGCCCCTCCCCCGTTCATGCTCTGTCTCTCTCTGTCGCAAAAATAAATAAACATTGAAAAAAAAAAAAATTAAAAAAAAAAAAAAAAACCAAGGCCTCCCAAGGAGCCAGGAGCTGAGACAAGCAGGTATGAGTGGAAGCAGGGTCTAGCAACAGCTTCTCTGCCATCTGGCCACTTGTGGGAGGAGAGGCAAGCTTAGCTTCTGAAGAGTTTGAGGAGAGGAACTCTAGCGTGCAGAAGGGAGCAGTGTTGTCCCCTCTGGAGAAAGGCTGAACCTGAGGTCTGCAACTCGAGCTTTAGCCTTGGCTCTGCATTCCCACAAGAGTGTGTTCTTAGGGCAGTCACTTAACGTGGCTTGCATCGTTAAGTCTTTTCGTTTCCGGAGTGATGAAGGTAAACCATAAGGTTATAAAAGGTCATTTTTAGTGTTGTTAAGCTTGTGGAGGGGGTAGTGGTCAGGACTAGAAAGACCCGGTTGGGATCTTGCATGGGTGCATATTTGCCATATTGGTGTGGCTGCTTTACTTTATATCTGGTCTCTTGTTTCCTTGCCTATAACATGGGGACACTCATTTCTACCTGGTAGAGCAGTCATGAGGATTGAGATGGTGCATTATTATAAAAGTATATTTAAAGGCCTGATGGTACATACTCTAAGGCTCTCTTGTCCTAGGCAAGTTTCCTGTTTTCATAGTAAAACAGAAACATTCTAAACATTTGATTTTTGAAACCTGGAAAGTAATGTGAAGAAGGTATGACAAATGTAGGATTTTATTTTCATAAATAATAAAAACAAAGATCTTTGATAATCTGCATTATTAGAAAACTTGGGATTTTAAATTTTATTTCGGTCTTAAACATTCTTTCTTAAAAAAAAGTTTTGGGGATCCTGGGTGGTTCAGTTGATTGAGTGTCCTACTTTGGCTCAGGTCATGATCTCACGGTTCATGAGTTTGAGTCCCGAGTCCGGCTCTGTGCTGACAGCTCAGAGCCTGGAGCCTTCTTCAGATTCTGTGTCTCTGTCTCTCTCTGCCCCTCCCCTACTCGTGCTCAAAATAAATAAACATTAAAAAAAATTTTTTTTAAGTCTAAAACTAACAGAAATTAAATACTACAAAAGGAAAGTTACTTTAGGCCTTGATATTTTCAAAGAACATGTTTATCTTTTAACTAGAAAATTGATGCTTTTTTTCTCCTTTAATTCTTCAGCTTTATCTTACTGCTGGTTGGTATAAAAGCCCTGGATTGTGTTCATTCAGCATATTTTATACAGTGTTTCTATATTTATACAGTTTATATACTATGTTGAAAAATGTGACTGTACTGAGGTATAGTGTTACAGTTTCACAATAGAACAATTTATAATACCGAACAGTAGTTTGAAAAGGTGAGAAACAGAAGTTGTGGTTTTCTTAACTGGAGATATAACGGTTTTCCAAACCAAATTCCGAGCTTGAAATGGGCTGAAAATGCTTTAATGAGTGTTTTGTTGCTAGTTTTGTAACTCTGTTGGAACTATATTATCAATGGAAAATTTCTGTTAAAATTACAAGGTTACTTATCAAATTCTTTCCCCATCTCCTGTCCACTTGGCATTTTTGGTCAATCTTAAATCCCTCCTCTCAACCCAAATATTATAAAATTAAGCAATGCTTCTCATTTTCCTTCTCTTTTTCTTCAATAGTTCACTACTTAATATTTTTAAACCTTAGAATTACAAGTCCAATTGTATTACCTGTTTGAATTCTTTGTCAATTGCTGTGTACAGAGCTCTCCAGCATGTTTAATCGTGGAAACCACCCATCGGTGGACACAGGCCACCTAATGGCAAAAGGGCAGGGAAGGGAAGGAGCAAAGAGGGGATGATGCCTGCTAGCAGGTGTGTGATGGCCCGGTAGCAATGCTCACTATTATGTAGCCTCTTCTCCCTGCTCCTGTGGGAGGTGCATTTGTGCAAATCATAGCTCTAAGCCCTGAGCTCAGAATTGGCAATGGTGGGCATTGTTTGTGAATCGTTCTGACTTTGGAGAAAGTCACTGGGCTTAGGTGGAACTCTTTCCTTCTTTTCTGAACCTGAAGGTGTTTTGCTTGGACCTGAACAGGCTGAGTAATCCAATCATTATAAATATTTTAGAGAAGAATATATGCTCCTGAGAGGTAGGAGACTTTAAGGACGTATAGGCGAAGACTCTTGGGCAGAGTGGAGTGGTTTGCCCCATACTTTTTCGAAGTCTTCCTCATTCACACCGGCTGTGGTGTCTTGCACCAAACTAAAAGCTTGACTGCCCGAAAGCAGGGTAGTTTTGTCTTCCTCATCTTTGTATCTTTAATACTTAACACAGTGATTGGCTCATGGTGGCTGCTCAGAAATGGTGTGTGAAGCTGATCTAGACTGAACTGAAGGCTGCTGTGGATTCATGGTCTTCTAAGGTGGTGGGAGTGGTGACAAGTGCTTCTCCACCCACGTGCCATCTGGTGCTGCCTTGGTGTGGTGGCACAGTAGCTGCAGACCTTAGCAGGCTTTCACTAGAGAGCCGGTATAGTCTCCTGAGCTTCAGTGAGGGGTATGGGCTGAGGGGCCTTTAAAAGTTAAAGGAGCTCCAGTTCTCCCAGAAGCAGCACTGTTCCCCGAGGAGGTGGTACCCTGGAGAGACACCTGGGGACTAGGTCATTCCCATCCCAAGTCTTCCAGAAGGTCTGAAATGCTCCCCTTGTCTCCATAAAAGATCCCCTCACCATACTTGCTGTATGTAACACATGGACTGCTTAAGCCAAGGGACAGTTCACTTTCTACAGTTTCTTGTTTCTGATAAGGGGAGGCCTGGCCCGGACCTGCTCTTTGAGTGTGTCCAAGACGGGCAATGGCAGTGTTTTCTTGGGAGGCACATGGGTAAGAATGGGTGATGGTATTTCAAGCCAATTGCAAAGGATACATGTTTCATTATAAAAATAGGAAGCAAAATATTTCATGTCAGTGTTTCTGTCTTCAGAAAATATGAACTAAGTAGCAAATAATTGCCAGTCTTAATTTCCTGTCTTCTAATTGTTGGTTTCAAAGTCATTTTTGAACTCTTTGTTTTTCAAATAAAAACTAAAACGTTTCTGGTTAATGCTGGTCATCTCCCCAAAATTTGCTTTCTGACATCAGCTTAGCTATACTTAATGCAATACCACTGTCATCAAAAGGACAATTGCTAGACTAAGAATTCTGCAAGTTTATGTAACTTTGTTTCCCCTTTGAACCTTGCAGGTACAACAGTGCCAGCCCACAGGGCTATCCTGGTGGCCCGTTGTGAAGTGATGGCAGCTATGTTTAATGGGAATTACATGGAAGCAAAAAGTGTTCTGATTCCAGTTTATGGAGTTTCCAAAGAGACTTTCTTGTCATTCTTAGAATATCTATACACAGACTCCTGTTGCCCAGGTGAGCAGTATAAATATTGAGTAATATCTCCTAATTCTTTATTTCCTTGTCACTCATTTTGATAAATTGCATTCTGTGAAATTTGTTTTTGTGTAAGACTTATCAGAGTTGACATCATGGCGTGTGCTAATCAGGTGGAGGTGGTGTTGGGATAACAGTGAGTTTTCGGTCAGCTCAGGTGGAGGAGCAGTGGTTGGGCACCTCTTTCAGGCTTTCAGACTCAGGCATAAGTCCCAGCCAGCACCAATAGTGTGGTGATTCTGTGGGCACCCTAGAAATGGAGGTGTCTGATGGTCCCCAGTGACCACTCTAATTCTATAGATTGGGACAGAGAGCTCCTTGGAGGACTATCCTTCCATAAAGAGAAGAGGGTTAGGTAGTTGCTTTTATGGCTCTAACTTCTGATTGAGGCACTTTCAAGGACTTTGGATATTCTGAG